AAAAAAAAAAAAAAAACTCTATCCAACTAAACATGAAACTCAAAATACACAGATATTTACTAAAGTGCACGTGCATCGCACGTGGTGCTGAATGTTTTTGCTGATTAAATTTAGTAAAATAAATTAATTAGTTGTTAAACATATCATCGCAGGAACGCAATAAAAAATATAGAACAAATGAGTTTCTAATTTTTTTTTATTAAAAGTAGCACAGTTATGTCATAATATAAAAAAAATAAAATAAAATATTACAATCCCAACAATATATAGTTTCTAGGAAAAAAAACACAAAATAACTAAATAAGGACTTCATGTATATTATAGACGCATTAGTTATTTTATTTAATTATGTTAGATTATTACAGAGTGGTCTTCTTTCATTTTTGTTTTGACGTTTTCATAAGAAACATTCTTACTTGTTGGAATCCAGTACATCAATAGTATTGCAAAATTCTCCTTAATTCATTTGACAAAACGTCTACTTTATTCAAACACTTATCAATATTCTAGCGAAACATAAAGTCAAACTTCATTATTGTATGCTCTTTATAAAGTATTTCGACTAACAGTTCATGAATATCATTGAAAAATAACCAACCGTACCATTAATATATTTTTTTTTTTGTTATTGTATCAACTACTTCATTACTATGCCCATATAGACAAATTGGTACCTACACCATGGAGGCATTGCCCCACAGGGTGGGAGTGTATTTCTTCTTAAAATAAAAGTCGACTTTCCGAAATCTTAGTTACATGTATTTCTCTCGAGACGCCAAATTATTTTTTGAAATCATCACATTACATGATACATACTGTAAAGTAATTACACATATGTTCGAGCAAAATACACAATGAGATTGTAAATATTCCTATTAAAGGGACACTTTCATTTAAAGTATCAACAATGTTTTGATCAGGCTTCGACAATTTTTTTTATGTTATTTATTTGGAAGACAAATGAACTATATAATCTATTGGTTGCAAATAATTGACCTTCTTGGTTGTTACGATGATTTTGGTGTTTATCATAATATATTTCACATTCGTTTGAATTTGCAGTACTTATGTTCCTAATATCTTCATTAGTGCTTTTATTGTCCAATTTTTTGCATCATACATAATGCTTCAAAAATTCAAGATAAAGATTCTTTCTTGGACAAAAATAAATAAATAAATAAAAATAAAACAAAACAATGAAATAATATTATGAAGCATATCATTTGTTAAAATTTTTTAGAAGAGAAGAATTAGAATTCTATTATGATATAGTACTCGACTAACTCTATTATATTATGATACTCTTAGTCGCTATGTGGACTTTATTATTACGAAGTTATTACTAAATTTTACGATATGCATTACAAAGTTTTTATATTTTTAATTATTTAAAAGTCTTAATAATATAAGATCATTATTTATGAGAAAACAATTTCTTACAGTGTTCATATATTTAGACGCTAGAAAAAAAAACTTTTGTTTCTAGATATTGGTATCATATTGCTCTAAGAAAATTCAAACTTTTTCTTTTCTCATTGAATTTATTTTGTATTCTATTCACAAATAATATTTCGAGCACATTTATATGTATTGCGTCATTTTCTGTATGTATATTATATAATGACGTTATAATCAACATATCTTATTTATTAGGCTACAACTAATATAATCAAATAAGATAAATACAATTTAACATTAAATATTTATCTATTTATAATATTAATAATATATTTGACAAAAATTTACTTTTATTCTGGTTATAAGATTAAAAAGTTTAGGATTTCTTCAATTGTTTGATAAATATTAAGCAATAAACTCATTTTTTTATTCATTGAAAATTCATGTTATATGTTATAACCATTATGGTGTTCCTTTCATGTAATAACTGAATAATTATTTAAAATATAACTCATTAATTTATCCTTTTAATTCGCATAGTTAATGTGATGCCCCGTTTGTTTATGAATTTTTTTTGGATTAATAATTATTGTTATTATTATATTTATTTGGATTAATTTTCTATTGTTTTATTGCTTGAATTATTATTATATATTATTGTGTGTAATTTATATATATAGACGGTTGATTATTTTAATTCCCAAAAGTCGCGATTGAACCGAGCTCCGTTAAATTAATAAGTCGAGCCGAGCATCATTTTAATTGTTAAGTAAACCGAGAGGATTCCGGCTTGAAACCCGCTTTATTTTATGTGTTTACATGAGTCATGTGGTAGTTCTCGTTTTAAATGGCATGTTGAGATGGTTATAATTGTATTAATTGAAATTCTAGGTGGATTAATGTTGATGTAATGATTAAGCATGCTAATCTAAATTCTCCTTTTTTTTTGTGTGTAGTAATGAGGTTATTAGGTGCTTTGGTTGATGTTTTGGCTTTATTATGGAGTTGGGATATCATATAATATGAACTTATGCCATCTACGCCTTTGTCTCTTCGGTTTATTGTCTAAACTAAAGGATGTGGGTTGTTTTTATGGAAATCAAAGAGTTTTGTATGCTTTAATGTGTCCTTGACATGTTGGAAAAAGCCTCAGGTCGTATCGATTCATATTTATTGAGTTATGAATTTTTAAAAATGGTCATGCTGTTGGATTTTGAAAAATCATGATAAATTGAATACTCGTCCATATTAATTGAAGTTTTATATGTGGTCCTCTATGATGATGATTCATGTTGTGTAAAATTTTCAGATTAAATATCATCTTGTAGCTATGTGAACTGTTGATTTTGAATTCTGGTCAGAATATTGTAAATTCAATATAAAATCGAGTTTGATGGATTTTGATGTGAAGTTTTGTGGAGTGTGTTATTTTGTTATCATGTTGGTTGTATTAAAATTTCAATTAAAAATGCATAGGTTTGACTGGGGAACTAGAAATTTCACTCTACGACTGTATTTTCGAAAAAAATTATTTGACTGGGTTAAAAGGAGGTTTAAGGGCTGATATCTGGTGTATATGTGTATTTCTGGGTGTAATACTATGAGATTAAGTTTCGTTGACAATGGATAAGTACTTTTTAAAAAGATCTGGTAATTATCAATTCTAGTATATTTTCTCGGCAGCACCCAACCGAGCCTTGTTTTGGTTATTTATCTGACTTGTTTGATTTCATAGTGATTCATCACCATGTTTTTCTTGATGTATGTGTTCTAAGTGATGCTTAATTGGTATCAAGTCTAGGCGGTTAAGCCATGGGTTCCAAACTTCTTTAGGAATTTCTACGAATCACTTAGTCGATACGGTTTCGGCTAAGTGAATGGTATTGTATGTTTTCTAAGTGTTGGGATAGTCATTGATAGGACTACCATGATTATGTAGGTACTTGAGGAGTCGAGCCCTCTACCTACATACCTGCTTTGTGTGTGATTCTCCACTTCGGTATCCAGGTGGGTTTTATTTAAATTGCTATGTCGTAAGTTATTTATGTTTTTGTTGGGAAGGGTATGATCAATGTATGCATGTGGACCATGTAGCCTTCGATGTGAAATGTATCGGTCGTCGAACGGTTGTCCCCGTCGATGTAATACGGGCATACTGAGAGGCAGTCTCCCTAAGACCTAATGAAAGGCCATATCGTTGTAAGTCACAAGGCGCTGCCTTCAATATGCATGCCG